TTTAATACTCCTTCAAAATGAAAATAAAAAGATATACGAGTTTTGGCCAACAAGTTGGCAAAGGTTTAAAAATTACAATAACCATAGTCAATTATGGTTGCAAGGCAAAAAACACTCTTACAAATTGCTGGTAGGAGTACACTGATAGCATAGTTCAGAGAAAAAATTTAGCAATTCTGTCAACAGTCTTGAAAATATTCATATCCTTTGCCCTAGATATTATACTTTTAGAAAAAATGCAATATCCATCACTATTATTAGCTTCCATTACTGAGTGCATAGCATGTGCCAACTTAATCTTCACAGGAACTCCATACAGTGCATATTTTATCCCCATTTTACAAAAAAAAATTGAGGCTCAGAGAGATACATTATTGAGTTAAAGTTATATTACACAATAATGATCCAATTTAGTTTTTTAAATGTGGGAATGGATCATTGAAAAACTGAAAGAATGTACACCAAATGGTGAAGAAAAGTTATCTTCTCTACAAGAGAAGGATGAGGTGATGGTGATGGATAATTATTATTTAGTTCAGTATTTGCTTATGTTCTTTTTCCAAGTTTCCTACAACATTTTATAATCAGAAAAAAAGTTATTTTAAAAGGCGTTCTTAATAGATTACATAAAAGACTTACAATAATTAAGAGTTTTGCTTTTCATTTATTACTTGAGAAATAACATGAATTCTCACTAGAAATACTGCATCCATATTACTTGACATTATAAAGCATTTTGAAAATTAATAATAATACTAAACTAAGAATCAAAAAATCTAAATTCAAGGATAGTGAACTCTTAATTCTGGCAGCAGGTGAAAAACCATAGCTGCAGTGATGAAACTCACAACTAGATTAGCAACACAATTTTAAAAACTGACTAATTTACAGTTTCAAGCACTGCTCCTTTCTCGCTACCCATGGTGAAGATGAGGATAAATCATTACACGAATGAAAGGCAGTCAGTAGAAGGAAGGCAAAAAAGAAAAGACATTAAGCATATATCAATCAGCTCCTGAAGAATACAATTCTGGGTTTAACAATACAAAACCAATGCTTTAAACATTATGATAATAACAGTTTATAAATCTCTTTAACAGTTGAATAGACATAGGCACATATATTTATTAATTCATCAAACTTGTAAAATTGCCCTATTAGGGATGCATTAAAAATTATCGCATTTTACTTATTTAAAAACTCAAGGCTTAGGGAGTTGTTATTTTGAGTTTTTTTGTTTTGTTCTTTGGTTTTGTCTTAGAGTCACCGGGCCATTTATCAATACCAGAAATCAAAGTCAACTTTTTGCTGTATGAGTCAAATAATTTTGCTGTATACAAGTTATCTACTTATAACTGGAAGAGAGGAAAAAATATTTTACTTAATCAAAATGTCTTTATCTCGGTGTGGTGGGCATCATAACCTGGTAATTTTTATAATTACTAGTTGAAAAATAATACTGGTTTACTCAAACATTAACCATTTAAAATTTAATGACTTTTCTGCCTCAAATTTGAAATTACCCCATATTCACACATACATTGCCACATAAAGAAAATAAAGGTTTGTCTGTTCAACTATTACTATCAAGCCTGAATGACTATTTCCTGTCTCAAAATGTATTTTATCTCCATTTGAAATCTCTAAATATAGAAAACATGTTCTGTTCCCCATCAAATGCTTGCAACAGCCTGACTCTACCACTTTCGAAATATTATTTTCCCTTTAGCAGTTCTTTTCACTAATATGACTTCCCTACTGTTACCTCTCAGTGTCTTCATCTCCTACCATTCTCCCTTTGTCCACTCTTTTCCAAGCTAGCTGGGTTCCTCACAGTTCCCAGAACATACTGGGAACACTCCTGCCTCAGGGCCTTTGCCTTTGCTCTTCTCCTGCGACACTCTTCCAGCTCCCTAATTTCCTGAAGGTCTTCATTCAAAATTCACCACCTCATTGTGCCCTACCCTGGATAGTTAATGTAAATTTTAACTCTCCTTTCCACCTTCCTGAATTCAGTTTTCCTCCTTAGCATGCACTATCTAACATACCATATGCAATCACTTACTCACCTATTTATTCCTGCCTCTGCCCCTATAGACTACAAGCTCCACTAGGCTCAAGCTCCAAGTCCACTTTATCCCCAGCACCTAAAACAGTACCCAGCATTCAGAAAGCCCTCATTACAACATTTACAAATATACATCAAATTTTAAATCTGGTTGCATTATAAGAAAAAAATTTGGTTGCACTCTCTCAGCAAGCCACATGATTAGAGTACATCATTTCTTTTTTTTTTCTAGTTTTATTGAGATATCACTGACACATAGCATTGTATAAGTCTGAAGGGTACTGTTGTGTATTACATGCCTGGAACTTATTTATCTCATAACTGAAAGTGTGTACCTTTTGATAACCTTTCACCTATTTCTCCCACCAGCCTCTGGTAACAACGAATCTGTTCTCGGCTTATGAGAGTTCAGTGTTTTTAGGTTCCACATGCAAGCGAGATCATATAGTATTTGTTCTTCTCTGGCTGACTTATTTCACTTAGCATAATGCCTTCATGATTTCTTATCTAGGCTGCTAGGCTGTACATGACTCTCAATGTTATTTTCTTCCCAATCACAAAAGAAAACTAAATATTGTATAATGTAATCATAGTTCAACCCACAAATTTCCCCCCTGAAGATTCTTAGACTCATAAAAGTTATGGACTTGCTTACAGTCATGGGATTATCTAAAGGCTGAGAGAATGAAAGCTAGTTTAAAGGAAAAGAAACATCCTCTCTGCTCTCACAGTAGACTGGAAAGAACTGGTCTTACCTTCAGAAAACTTAAGTGTGATATCTGTTATTATCCCTCACGGGTGTGTGACCTGGGATGTCCAATTTAAGCTTCAAAACTCACGGTATCATTCTAAGTTTGAAATAAGGTGCTATAGATAAATGCACTTTGCAAGCAACATGATTGTCTCTCTACTGCTCAAAAAAAATGCTGGAAAAGTAAAACATCATAAGGAAACTGATGTCACAGTCAGACGTACCTCATCATGAATCAGCTCCAATGGTTCTATCATATACACAAAGGTGTCGTCTTCAAACATACCACTATGACACAAGGATCCACAGAGGAGAGAATTAACAAATATAGCAAACGGTATGTCTTTTAAAATAATGTATCTGAATAATACCTTTATAGTGCCCCAAGTGAATTCACATATCTGTATGGACTCACGCTGTGGTCCCAGCACTGCACTAGATAGCATATAGGCTACAGAAGGTGTAAAAAATTTATACCAAGAGCATACTCATTATACTTGACATAATTAATTTTTGAAATTAAATGGACAGATAAGATCAAACTGGGATAGGACTACTGATGTTGCCCCAGTATCTCAAGTTATTATCACAGAACTATATACAACTAGTACAAACTTGTTACGCAAATCCAGTATCATCTGTAAGAAAATAGGTTTCACACGTGTAAGAGTAATATAAAACCGTCTAATTCTGAAGAAGCAAACAGAGGTATCTTTATGCTTGCAAACTGTGAATTTCCATTAAGAGTCTGTGTCGCAAATCACATTTAATTTTGAGGCACATCGGATTTTTTACAAAGTGTGGCGGTAAGATTTTCATGGTTCTTTTCATCACATGGCCACAACTAGACCCTTACATGCAGTGCTACTGTGTTCGAGGCTGAAAGGCACCTGCAGATGCCTTTTAAGAGCCTGCCTGGAAGCCAAAGCACGAGTTCCTCTCTTGCAAACCTCACCCTTGCCTGGCTACCTCCTACTTATCCTCAGGTTAACCTGGCTGATAGGTCCTCTGGGACACAACTCTGGGAAACCTTTCTGGACAAGATTCGGACATCCTAAAGTCCCTGTCCTTCCCCTTCACAGTACCTACCAAAATGGCAATTAAACAGTAATCTGTATAATCATTTGTTTAATCTCTAAGTCTCCTGCAAACTCTTAAGTGTTAAGAGAGCAACGACTTTGCCCTCCTTGTTCATCACTCCACATCCAGTCTCTAACCCAGGACTGGTACAGAGGAGTCAGTAAAATATCTGTGAAAGAAAGATGGAAAGGATGAGTTGATGAAAGCAAGTTCGTTCTCCCATTGGAGAGTCCCACGTACTGAAGTCCATTGCAGGTCGACAGAGCCACCCTGGAGTTCTTGATACCTCTGATGCTTCCGTGGTAGTAACAGTGCTCTCCACCCTGCAACACAGAAGAAGACTTAATTGACAAACTCTGCTCTCTGCATCATGGTTCACCCTTTGGGATGCTTCTATAAAGCAAAAAGAAAGGCAGGGGTGACCCTAGAAACTCCTCGTGGTTGATAAGAAATCTCAAAGAGCACTAGGCAATTTTTCAACTTTTCTATAAGGATCAAGTGTATAGTAAACGTAATGAAGGAGAAAAGGCTTTAACAGAGGGGTAAGACACCAATGCAACTGGACCAACTGACACACCTTTCTTCAGCATGGAAGGGCGTAGACACCTACCAGATATGGAATAAAGTCTATGTAACTGAGGAGAGCCTCCCCAAAGGTGCTGTTTAAAATCATTCTTGATGGAAAACTACGTAAAACTTTATTATTTGCTTTTCTACCTTTTAAAATCAGTTTCAAAATATTTTTTAGAAATAATACACGAACTTAGTTTTCAATGTCAAACAGCAGCTGTAAGGCCTATTTAAAAAAACACAGCAGTTTCCTGTCTCCTTCTCTCACCAGCTCTTTGGCAACCTTTTTTTTTTTTAAACACTTTTAGCTGTTTCTTCTGTTGTTTACCCACATATTTCTGAATGGAATATTTATACTGTTATGTCCTAATTTATTTCACTTTAGAAATTATCTTCCTAACATAGACTCTTGAAAACCCCTTTTGCCCCAATACATTCCAAGACACATCACAAGTTTTGAGTTAAATTGGTATCTATTGTTTGTATTATGACTATGAAAATATTGCTCATAGCCCTGCCACTATGATTACATTTTGTTCTTGCTCCATGTAAAATTTTTTTGAGAACTTATTGCTTCTCCATGTATTTATTGTCTAAAATACTATCTACAACTCCTCTCCTGTGGCCAAACGTATCAGGTGATCTGTCATACCCATTTTGTTCCTGGGGACATTCCTCTGTGCAGCTACTGTCCAGGACTTGTCTGTAGCATCATCCCGGAAACTCCTTTGTCCCCTTTCTGTATGGAATCCTAGACCCCATGACTTCTGCATTCATGGTCTCTTTCTCCCCTTTTCTGGAGGTCCACATCCTCCTGCAATTTCTTGGGAAAGTATCCATGGAAGATACATTTGGTGAGACCGTTCATGTATGAAAACTTCTTTTTCTGTCTTCACACTAGATTGATGATGTGGGGGGGTAAAGAACTCTAGATTGAAAATGATTTTCTCTCGGCATTTCAAAGGCATGGTGCACAGTCTTAAAGCTTCACCTTGCTAAGAAGTGGAAATTATTCTAATGTTAGACATTGTCTGTACAATCTATTTTTCCCTTTTCAAGAAGACCATAGGAAATTCTATTCATGTCCATTTTCACAAAATCTCATGATGTGCCTCAGTGGGGGATGTCGCTTATTAATCGCACTGGGTTCTCTGTGGCACCTTCAAACCGAGACAATGCATGCACTTCCGTTCTGGGAAACTTTTACTATTTCTCTGATAATTCCCTCCTTTCCATTCTTCTCCATAAACTGAGCTCTTCTACCAGAGTAGAGAAGGGATGGCTGCCTGGCTACACGGCGTAGGGAGTAGATCAGGGATTTAAATACCATCTCCGTGTAGACTTCCAGCCAATCTTTCTGTTTTCTGGCACCTTCAATTCCTCGGTCTTTCTGAGTGAAGCAACACAGTTGGTTTGGCTCTGCTTCTTTTTGCCCGACTGGAACTTAGCCGAGCAAGAAAAACTCAAATCTAAGACAATCACCCCCTCACCCATCTGCTTTCTAGCTCCTACAATTTTACGGACACGTCTTAACAGCTGTCTTCTCTTCTCTTGTCTGTATTCTTGTGGGTCTGCATCCTTTTTAAATTCCTTAACTGTTATTTGAGTGGGTTACTATGAGGAAATAGAGATAAATATAAGCATCAAGTCGACACTGTCTAAACCAGAAGCTTCCCATTTCTTTTCTTAAATAGAATCCTGACTTTGACTCTTTTTTGTTGCTTTACAGTCATCTTGATCACTGCTTATTCCACTGTATTACAACAGCTATTTAAGTGCCTAAGGGGGGTCACTCACACATCAAAACACCACTCTCCAACCAACTCAGTTTGTTTCCTTTTAGTAACTGTAGTATAAATTTTCAAAGTTGGTTGTCTAAATTTGGAATTATAATCTTGTTCGTAGTTTGTGAAGGGTTGCTTTTTGGTTCTCAAAAAGCAACTCTGTATATAAATGTTGACTTTTATATAATATGTCAAGTTCTGTTTGCATTTTCAACTTTGGAACTTATAAGGACAAATGGTATCACACATTTCAGCAATTTGAGAATCCAGGTCAATATTCTGCAATTAAATTCCAGACTCTTCACATGATTCTAAAAACAACCATAGGTAACTGTAAATTCCATCAAGTCGGTTACTTAGCACTTTGTGTCACACCAAAAGGCTATCTTAAGTCAGGTGATTGTTAGAAGTGCATAGCAAACACTGTCATATTTACCTGACCTTTCTAAGAAAGCTGTATTTTTAGAGTTTTCTACAAACATTTTTTTCCCCAGAAAATACTTCCAAGTCCTTTCCTAGATTTGAGTGTCATTCACTTGCACTGAAAACTTAAGACTGATGCTCTCTCTCAGCATAAAGGTCATTGGTACCTGTTTTAATTAAGGTAGACTATTACCTGAAGGGAACTGTGTTATAGTTCCCAGTATATCTGGGTGTGAATCACCCTATTTTCTGGACTATAAATGGGACTTGCCGTAATATCTAATCCCTAATGTTTACCATCATAAGAAAGCTTTAATATCTAAATTGTGTGGTTATATCAAGTACTATAAGCAATTTGGCAGGTTCAAACTTAATAATATTAGAGGACTTTGTGAGTTTCTTCTTGATAAATTTATACCAAGTTTTTGAGAGTGCATTACCAGAAAAACACTATTTGGCAACTCTCCAGATCTAAGCAGCATTTTGTTACTACCACTACAAAGTAACATCTTCAGGCACTTCCTATTAAATACATCCCAGTTGAGAAGAGGCAGTTCCTCGTGGGTAACAGGAATGACAGGAGCGGGTCAGTGCAGAGAGGTCTCATTAATGAGAACACTGAATAGTCAGCTCCGCCCAAGGATCTAACCCTCCTGCACACTCACACCTCACAGTAACTGCTGTCTCTGTATCCAAATGAGGAGACGGTCACAAAGCGCTAAAAGGCTCTGCCGAACACAGCAAAAAGCCAACTGAATCCCACATCTTCACACTCGTAAGTCAGTGTTTCTTTCTCCAGTCAGGAAGGCTTCAGAACTGGCCAGAGATTCCGAGACCACCACCTGTGAGTGGGTCACAGGTCTCTGACTAGGCAAACAGCAGGCAGGAGGACCAAAAAGGGCTCATTCAGCACAGGACACAAGTCTATGTGTGTCCCCATGGGCATCAGCATTTTCAGATTTAAAACTGTCAGTCAGCTACTGAAATTCAACAAAAATGGAGCACCTGATAAACGGCGATTATTGGCTAGTCAGGGGAACTTAAAAATCCTAGTAAGTATGTGCCCCAACTTTCTCAGCCCACCACCTCCACACAAAATTCCACAAGCCAGAAAATGCTCAAACAGCCCTGCTGGAAACCATCAGGCCACTCCTGCAAGTAATGAAACACTGAAGCCATGTGCATCCTTTAACACACTTCCTAATCAAATGTGGCTGGGGCAACAACTCTGTGAGTCTAAGTGATAACAACTTGGAGGGAAAAAAAAGACTTGGTTCCCTGGTATTACTGATTGAATGACAGGAACGATTTGATTCTACTCACATCAAATAGAATCTACTAGAAACAGAACCTACTGTTTCAATATAATTTATTTTATTTGTGTCTGTTTAATTTTCTCATCTGCTTCAGGAAAGTTCAATTAGCCGATTATTATCTTCATTGCTTAAAAGACCCTCATAAACCTGGGCATTTATGATGACCAAGTACTGATATTTTCAATCGACTCCTGTACATCTGGATAAACATTTGAAAAGAAACTGCATAGGCCTCATCTCACAGATGTGCATATTATGATATTCTAGGTCCTGAATATGGTCATTAAAAACTCTGACACTACATTCAAGTGGTTATTCTATATGCATATCTTTAAATACTTCAAACTTATCAACCAGCAGGATCCATCAGTCTATTTAAAAAAAATCACTAGGCTGGTTGCAAAAGAGGAATACATTTTAAAAAATCTGTAACACGCACATATTTGAATTTGAATATTGCGGAATAAGGATACGAAAAAATATTTCAGAGAACTGGGGAACTTGCAATCCCAACACCAGTTTAATTATTTACCTTCATTAAACTCAAGGGAAAGAAAATGTTCAAGCTTTAGAACAGTTTGGCTGCACTATGCATATCTCTAATGCTATATAAATTTTTAATAGTTCACACTAACTGTACTGTTCAAATTTAAAATAGCTTCGTGAGGAGCCAGTGTTGTCTGCTCTCTTGAGTTCATGGGGAGTTTTTTTTAAACCTTCCAGCCAGGAGCCCTGCCCACAGAGGCCCATTCCTTCTAACAACAATTCTTGCCAAGAAGCCTTTGTGGAAGAATTAGCTTGAGCTGAACCATGATGAGGATCTGATAAGGAAAGCACAAAAAACACACTAGGAGGGCGACGTGACTAAAATGGTAAAGGAACAAAGGCTGGGAATAGAATATAGAACCCACAAGGGCAGGGGTTTTTATCTGCCTGGCTCACTAAGTGACAAGACCAGTCTTATAAGACCAGAGGATTTGTGTTTGTTCAGACAGTGGGTAAATCAATGCCCATTTCCTACCTGAGATGCTTTTTATTTTGAGGCTCTCTTTAACAGAGTGCAATTCAGTGGTCTTTAGTATATTCACAGAGTTGTGTAACTATCACCACTAATTCCAGAATATTTTCATCACCTCAAGAGAAAATCCTGTACCCATAAGCAGTCATTCCCCACTCCCCCTTTTACCTCCCATCTTCCCCCAGCCCTTGGCAACCACTAATCTACTTGCAGTCTCTATGAATTTTCCTATTCTGGACATTTGAAGTAAATGGAATCACACAAGATGCGGTCCTTTGCAATTGGCTTCTTTCATTTTGCATGATGTTTATAAGATTTATCCATGTTGTAGCATATATCAATCAGTATTTCTTTCCTTTTTATAGTTGAGTAATATTCCTTTGTGTGGATATACCACATTTTGTTTATTTACTCATCAACTGATGGGCATCTGAGTTGTTTCCACTTTTTTGCTATTATGTATAACGCGGCTATGAACATCCATGTACAAGTTTTTGACTGGACATATGTTTTCAATTCACTTGGATATATACCTAGGGTAGAATTGCTGGGTCACCAGAAAACTATCTTAACTTTTGAAGGAACTGCCAAATTATTTTCCAAAGCAGATCCACCACTTTACATTCCTACCAACAGTGTATGGGAACTCCAGTTCTCCGGATCCCTGTCAGCACTTTTTATTATTTTTTTTATAGAAGAATAGTCAGTTTACAATGTGTCAGTTTCTTGTCCATCTCTTTGATTATGGCCATCCTAGTGGGTTTGAAGTAGTAGCCACCTAAGTTTAAAACCAAATGAGAGAGGGACACAGGACTGAAACAGAGATCAAAACATCACCTTCAGTTTCGATAGTGCAATAGTGGAGGAGAGAATGAGCTGAGAATCCAGTGCATCTGCTAATGCTGCTCCATAAGTTAGCCAGACTTACCCACCACGGCACAGACAACATGGGATAACCAGAACCTACCCCAACCCACCCACACCCTCACCCTCAGGGGCTGTCACAGTACAACTCTGAACACGGGAAATGAGAAAATGTGCTCTTCCTGTAGGGAGGTGGCTCTCACCAACAAAGGGGAGGAAGGGACAAAATACTTCCCACCAGTGAAGTTGCTTTTCCTTCCCTGGGCAGAAATGAGCATGGGGACAGGAAGAAGCCAAGGTGAGAAAATAGAGCTAGGAAATGACATTTTCTCCACCCAATAAGCAGAAAGATTAGTAAAGGGAAGTAGGGACAGAAGCACTGTATCTACCTATTCAGTCTGACACTGGTGGCTAGGAGGCAGTTCTTTTTATAAGGAGAAGAGAAACCAAAGTATTAGTAAGCACTTAAAGTTAACGGTTCACTTACAAGGGATTTAATAGAAATACATTAAATTTGAAAATAACTCTTATACCATCCTATTGATGCCTAACTCCTTTAGAAGAACTGAAATACTCAAAATTAATTTATTTTTAATAGGCTCACCATTGAAGTTGACCAACAAATCAACCAAGTTGTTTTGTTGTATGGTGTGTGCAGAGCACTGCTAGGAACTCTTAACAAATCTATGGCTCTGTTGTCGGTGCAGAACAAATCTAAACCTTCCATCTGTTTGCTAATACGTAATGCCTGGCACCTATTCTATACTGCCTACATAATTCGTTGACCTCTCCAGTTCCCGTATTTGTTTCACAAGGAAAGAAGCTGATTTAACCCACTTTCATTCAATAAAAGTAAAAGCTAAAGACGTTAGCTTCTTCTTAGCTAGAAGTGGGAACTAGATAGGGGCTTGGTAGTCATGATGTGGGAAAACCTAGGCAAGTTTCTTCAAAGTGTCATTCATCATTTTGTTTGAAACTCATTCCCAGAATATTTTAAATGTCCACATTTATATTTAACTTCAAAGCCAAGCAGACTATTCATGATTGTGTTTCTCTCTAGTCATGTGAATTAACTGTGTGTGTGTGTGTGTTTTGTGTGCATGAACTTTTGTCCAAAAAGTTTGAAGCCTTTGGAAGAATGGTTGTACATGCATAAAAACAGGTTTATTTAACCTAATATGTAATTCTTTCATATTAATTTCCTTTTCTGTTACTAGGTACAAGGATTTTCTTGAACAACATGGAAGGCAATGTGAAGTACAAAAATATCCTTTTAAAAATATGTATGTCATGGTAGTAGGAGCATGAATTTATATAAACTTTCAGGAAGAAAAACTGTCAATATGTAGCAAAAGCCTTAAAAATATACCAAATCTTTAACCCAGAAACTTTCTATTCTCAAAATTAATCCTTAAGCAACTATTAAAGAAGCATTCAAAATGTATCTGGAAGGCCTCTCCTTAAAGTTATTCGTATGGTGAAAGATTAGAAACAATCTAAATGTCTATCACCATGGGCTTAAACAGATTATAGCAAATGAATTGGAAATAGTATTATACATTTTTTTAAAAAATAAAAGTTTAGAAGATTTTTAAAGCATGCTGAAGTGTTTATAATACTATTAGATTAAAAAATCCTCGCACAAGATAGTGTGCACCATAACATCTCGGGGTTTGGGGTAAATATGTAGATACATACCCATAAAAAACAGACTGTCACCATTAATTCATTACCTATAAAGCAAGTTAAGTTTGGGTAGACAGATTGTTTGGAGAAAATGAGTCATAAATAAGAGGAAAGTGATGAACACAAAAACAAACTGCAATGAATCCTCCTTTTGCCAGAGTTAAAATACCCTCTGTTTTAAATTTCAGTTACAACTGATGTGAGATTTGTCATGTCTTACTAATGATAAGGCCTCCACTTGGGACCTCAAATGACCTCTAGAGGCCAATCAGCTACTCCATTTCTTAAAAAAGAAAACAAAACAAAAAAGAGAGACCTTCTTAGCGAGAAGTTAGAATCAGGTCACCATGGCCTGCAAAGGTGTCTCACTTGCTGAGTCTATAAAGGGCTCATGCAGTCCTCTCTTCTCCAGACTCCCGACTCAGCACCCGCAGTGCTCAGGGCCCCGGCACAGCAGACCGGAGCTCTGGTTTGTACCAGTGCCAGGCAGCGCTGTTCCCGTCTCAGTTTAGCATCCCTGCTCACTTGCCACAGCGTTCACTTTTAGGGAGATTCAACAACCCGCAAGATGCAGACTAAGGCAAGAACTCACAGACTAACAAGACCGATGGACGGAATTTCTTAATCTGGGGCATAAAATTCAAAGGTTTGGAACTCACGTCAAATTACAAGTGTGCCCACTGTTATTCGGATAGCTATAAATCCTGAGAAATGCCATCACTCCTGGGCAGCAATCACAGTTCAGGATGCCTATAAACATTTGCTGAGAGGCTCTCAGACTGACAAGCCCAGTTCTCTATGCTGCCCGGCCCAGCAAGCCCACATCTGAAAGGCCCACTTGTGTGCCAGTGTTCATTAGCGACTGAGAAAAAACAAATCCGGTCACGTTTCCCCACTTTGTTTTGTGTCCCTGCTTGCTCCCATGCCCGTGGCATCCGTGGATGCTGCTCAGGCTCAGTGGCACTCTGTGGACTTCCTAGAGATCAGAGTCTCTGCATGTAGCCGCCCAGGGATCTTCTCCCTGACTGGTGGAGATCACGGTGCTCCTTAGGCACAAGTAATCTCTCTCTCGTTTTAATCTAAACCCACTTCTCCTGACTGATTCTCCGTGAAGAGAACAGTGAATCTCCAAACGAAGGCAGTCACGCACCCAGCTACCTTTCTATTACAGTGCTTGCTGGCCTTGAGAAGATTTACTTGTCCTCTTCGCACCTCAATTTCTTCCTTTGCACAACAGAAACAGTAATACCCACTTCCTAGAATTGTGACGATTAAGATGGAGATGTTCCCTAAATCTTCATTTCCCCATCTGCTCTCTGTCCTTCTTGGGCACAAGTCACTTGGATTGGTCACTCTAGCAGCCCATCCAGTCTGATCGTTCAGGTTCTCTGACCATGTGCCTGGCTGCCCAGCGCTTTAAGGTGCTGCTATGGAAATACAGAGCTCCTGATACACTTACCTGTGTAAGATGCTGTAGGTACACCCAAAACAATAAACATTTCTTTATTGGCCTGAGTCTCTAATGTTATCTCAAACATTTATAAGTTTTAATCAATATCTCCTACATTTATTTTAAATTTAAAAATAGTAGCCTTGTACAAGAGGCCAGATTATTTTAGTGACACAGACAACCAAACAATGCAGGGTGCGGTGAACAGTTCTGTGATTAAGTGTATTTATATGACAGGATGTCCATATGCTATTGACCATACCTTAGAGTACTGCGGTTTCCCATTTTCGTAGTGAATCTCCACATAATCAGAAGACAGCAAACCACTACAAAGGAAAGAGAATAGAGTGATTTCCACATCTAAGGCACTCAGAGGTTTAAAAATAACCAGCTCAATAAATGAATGTGAGGGCCATGTGTTAACCACAAATGGTTCCAGTCCAAAACAGGGACAAAGCAAGTGATCATCAAGCATCTCAAACGTCATGCAGCAACAAATCACTCCTCAGTCTGTTTTTAAAAAAGACAAAATATAGATCATTTAAAGATGATCTCCTTTTATACACACATTCATCATTTGATTGATACGTTAATATGGAACAAACAAAAAGGCAGGTAACGGGAGAAGACAGGTCCTATAAAAATACCACAATTAATGCTCTAAATAATTGGAATCTCAAAACAATCACTGAGGAAGAGTATAGAGTAAAGGCCAGACAGAAAATATCTGAGGCTTTTCAGGCCACACAGTCTCTGGAGCAGCCACTCAACTCTACTGTTGTGTCACATTAAGTAGCCACAGGCAACATGGCTGTGCTCCAATAACTCCTCATTTATGGGCACTGAAATCTGAATTTCACATAATCTTCCCATGTCAGAAAAGAATTTTCTTCTTTAATTTTTTTCAACCATTTTGAAATTTAAAATAAAAAACATATTTAGCTTGAGGACTGTATAAAAACAGGAAGGCTGGATTTGGCCTGCGGACCGTAGTTTGCCAACTCCTGGAACAAAATAACGGTTACGAATATGGATTTTGAAGTCAGAGTGGGGTTTAAAACCGCATCCAGCTCCTCATTAGTAGTGCGACCACAAGTAAGTTACCCAACTCAGCCTTTACAAGAGTCAAATGGAGACAACAAAGAGTGTGACTCTCACAGACACCAGGAGGATTTGATGAAAGCACACGCAGTGCTCAGCGCTGAGTATGTGCCCAGTAACGGGCTGAGGCTGTCACCATTCTTAACTCAACTCCTTCAAACACACTTCTCCCTGTACAACGTGGGAAATACCCAGCACGTGCCTCCGACGGGCGCTGGACTCTGACGGCATCTGGGTTCCTGTTTGGGCTCTGCCACTAGAAACACTGCTAACAAGAGAAAACTCACATCGACGGAACACTTGCTGCATCCCAGCCACTGTTATAAGGACTGTAACGGTATGACTCATTCAATCCCAACAGTAACTGAAGGATGACAGTAGGCTCCATGATGAGCCAGATGTGCGCCCTACATTTAGGCCTCCGTTTCCTCTTCTGCAAAAGGCGGGTTGCAGCAGGCAATGCCTCAGGCCCCTTCCTGCTCTGACATTCAATTTCTGTAATTCTGCCTACCAGGAGGTTTACTGTTAGGAAACCCTGACACGACTTCTTTAACAGAAGTACGAGAGGAAGGACCCAATGATTTTGCATCATGTTGAGAGTTGCACCTGATGAGGTTCTAAAACGACCCAGGGAGGAGGGCTGAGGAGGACGCTCGGAGCCAGTCAACAGAAGAGCTGGGAGCCACATTTGTGCCTGGTCCAGCCTGGCTCCCGCAGAAGCTGAACGACAACCTTTACAACACGGAAATAAAGCAGATGCTTGGACCGTGAACAGGTTTCTCCACTGAAATTACTAATCAAATGGGTGTCTGTGAATGATTCTACATTTGAAACTAACTTACAGTACGTCCACTCATTCCCTTTTAAAAATCTCAGTAATCACAAAGGTAATGACAATTCTTAGCTCTATATACTTGGGAATAATAGCTGAGAGGGTGCAGAAACTTCCAGTTAATGAAGTCAGCCACCCAGCACTGTGAATGTACATAAACAGCGTTGTTGATGGTAACGTCTCTCTGAGGAATGTTTCCCGCTCACCAAGAGGCCAGGAGGTTGCACTAACTGCATTTTAATCACCTCTCTCTAAAGGTAATTCGTTATTTTCAAAATTCGCCACCACACGATCCCCGGAGCATGTCTAACAGTTGAAAACAAAGGTATTTTAGGTCCCTAGTTTTGTCTGTAATTACAAGGGCAGGTAAGAACATTCTAACCATTAACCACCAAACCTGATAAGGATCACTTTGATTATCGCATTCTTCGCTTGTCAGGTGCCTTTCCCCCACCATGGGCATACCTATTTCTAGTATCTCCCACATTTGAGAATCTTTAAGACGACGACTAGCTACTCTTCTGTGAGCCTATGACAGACCCTGAGATGAACACAAGACAGAATGTACCCCGTCACTCCACTCCACTCTCCCACCTCCTATAAATAGCACCACGTCCCCATCTGCTCCATCCTTTCCTCTTTTCGGACCATAGCAATCCCTCCCTTAAAACAGTTTCTCTCACCTATCACAGTGTCTCCAGCACCTGGCAAAAAGCCTAGTGTAGCTGATTAACATTCGCTTAATCAACATTTGCTAAGTGAGCAAACATCTACCAACATCCGCTCTATGCCAGGCGGGTACCAAGTGCTGGGAAGTTGGGAAGAAGAATGCAACTCTGACAGTGAGATCAAGCAAATCGGCATAAACATCTGAGATTAGTCATCTCACCCGAAAATATTATTTGTAATCTTCCCGAAAGTGAATTAATATCAACTGAAGTGTAATCTAATTATAAAAGTCTTAAAGTAATTTTGAAATAAGAGACCTTTCACTGATGGGCAGGTAACACTGAAAAGGAAGAACTGAATCATTAATTTGCGGTGGTGTGTCTCCAGCCCCACCCTGCAGAGAAGGAACAGGTAATCGGTATCTCTGGATGCCTGAAGACTCATTGTCTGGCAATCTCTGCCTGCATATGCTCTCCAAGGCCTTTTCTCCACCTCTGCTCTCTGTAGTTTCTCTAGTAGAATTTCCTGTTGGAAACAGAATGTTCTAACTTGCCAATATTAATCTATTTAGCAATTATGGTCCCAAACATATTGTCATTTTACTTTGTTGAGCAGCCAACTGGGTGTTTTGGGGGAACCAAAGGAAAGAAATTTCTAAGCATTCTGAAATATATATCGTTTTTTAGTCATTTAAGTTACAGAAAAGCTATATACCCCAGCTACTACAGCACTTTACATGCTGGTGAAAAGAGGGCTGACCTTTGGCATAAGGAGATAATTGTATGATGGAAGTCAAAGCAAAGTGGAAGAGAGTGGAAAAACTGGAATAAGGAAATTCTCTTTTGATTATTGTTATGAAACTCACTCACTCAGCTCCTTCGTGGTGAATCTGCACCACAAAGGTAGTAAAAAGAACTTGAACTCTAAAGTCAGACAATGTGATTTTACTCAAAGTATGATGAACAAATGTAAGCACCCGAAGATGCTGAACTCTAAGAGCAGGAGAATGGCAAGACTACTAAAACATGGCAAATGAGCAAAGAATCAGATCAATGACGGGGACTGTGGCAGACATAATGCTGAGTCTCCACCAAATTCCGTTTCATGTTCCCCTTCCTGGCACAGTAAGACTACATTTCACATTCACTGATGAGCTCTAGTAGTTCTCCGCTAGCATCTTTAGGATTTTCTATGTATAGTATCATGTCATCTGCAAACAGCGACAGTTTTACTTCTTCCTTTCCAATTTGGATTCCTTTTATTTTTTTCTTTTCTAATTGCTGTGGCTAGGACTTTCAAAACTATGTCGAATAAAAGTGGCAAGAGAGGGCACCCTTGTCTTGTTTCTGATCTTAGAGGAAATGCTTTCAGCTTTTAACTGCTGAGTATTATGTTAGTTGTGGGTTTGTCGCACGTGGCCTTTATTATGTTGAGGTATGTTCCTTCTATGCTCACTTTCTGGAGAGTTTTCATTATAAACGGATGTTGAATTTTATCAAAAGTTTTTTCTGCATCTATTGAGATAATTATATGGTTTTTATTTTTCAAATTATTAAATGGTGTATCACACTAATTGATTTTTGGAAACTGAAATATCCTGCCATCCCTAGGATAAATCCCATGTGATCATGGTGTATGATCCTTTTAATGGATTGTGGGATTCAGTTTGCTAGTATTTTATTGAGGATTTTTCATCCATGTTCATCAGAGATATTGGCCTGTAATTTTCTTTTTTATTTTGGGTATATATATATTTAAAAAAACAAAAATAGTCATTTGAAAAGATACATGCACCCCAAAATTCATAGCAGCAATATTTACAACTCCCAAGATATGGAAACAACCTAAGTGCCCAGCAACAGATGAATGGGTAAAGAAGATGCAGTATATATATGCAATGGAATGCTACTCAGCCATAAACAAGAAAGAAACGTTGCCATTTGCAGCAACATGGATGCACTTGGAGAGCATTATGCTAAGTGAAATAAAGCAGACAGAAAATGTTATCACTTACATGTGGAATCTAAAAAATACAACAAACTAGTGAATACAACAAGAAAGAAGCAGACTTACAGATACACAGAACAAGCTAGTGATTGCCAGTGGGGAGAAGAGAGAGGCAATATAAGGGTGGTAAGTGGGAGGTACGAACTACTGGAGGATAAAACAGGCTCAAGGATGTACTGTAAAACACGAGGAATATATCCAATATTTTGTAATAAGAGTAAATGGGAAGTAACCTTTAAATTTTTCATTAAAAATTTTAAAAATTTTCACTGTAACACACTGGACTTGTCAGGTCATGACCAGCCCTACTCCTTGCCACATGATGTCTTTGTTCTTAAGAAAACAGTAGCACAAATATCCTAAATTCGATTCTCAATAAATACGTAAGTTACTTCCATATGTGTTCAAACTGGGACTAGAACAGAAGTCGACATTTACGTGAACAAACAGTGAAGGATTAATTACGTCTAGGAAAGAAAGGAGTGCCGCTGATGTCCACTTTCATAATGTCATAATGTAAGTTCACCCATCTGATGATCTTCTGTTTGACCAGCGCTCACCTTCTCAGGATTGGGAACTCTGATCATCCTAAATGGCCCTGGCAGATTCACCCACAAAGTCTCCTGCCCCTGCTCCCCCTCAAGGCTCACAGTCATTCATTTAATGACAACAAACGCTGATCACTGTGGGCAGTGTCAACTTCGTGGGACATCAAGG